GGCCCAGAATGGCAGAATAGTCTTTTAATTAACTAAAAATTGACTTATTTTGGAGCTTAATTATATCTACAAAACCTTTTCCCTTTGCTGTATTCTGCTGGCCAGAGGCAAAGTACAGGTCTCACCCAACTCAAGAAGAGGGGATTACGCAGACTCTGAATATGAGGGCTGGAATCACAGGACCACCCTAAGGTCTGCTCACCACAGGAAGGGAAGATTTTTCATTGAAAGCAGTATTTCTTTGGGACTGATAGATGAATATGATCTAGCTAGGTGAAGCCTAGAGGGAACAGAGTTCTGGGAGGAGCAAACAGTGTGCACAAAGACCCTGAGGAAAAATGGCAATTTTGCAGAGCTGTAAAAAAACCAGTTTAGTAGAATGGCTCTCATTTCTGGCTGTATATATCACCTGAAGAACCACAAAAATAGTTGTTTTTAATAACTACTTTAAACCAATAAAATTGTAAAGTTCTTGGCCTAGGGTTTGGCAACCATCTTTTAAAATTTTTCTCCCTAATTGTCTCTGGGTTGGACAGGGGTTAGGGGCTGCCCAGATGTTGGGAACAGAGAGATAAGCAACATTTCTGTTGGCTCAGATCAAAAATTGCTCAGTGAGATTTCTCAAAGAATGTAAAACAGAACTACAACTCAACCCAGCAATCTCATTACTGAGTAGATAGCCAAAAGAAAATAAATTATTCTACCAAAAATACACATGCACATGTATGTTCATTACAACACTATTGAAAATAGCAAAGGTGTGGAATCAACCTCGGTGCCCCTCAGTGGTGTACTGGAAAAAGAAAATATGGTATGTAACATATGGGATACTATGTAACCATAAGAAAGAATGAAATCATGTCCTTTACAGCAATACGGTTGTAGTCAGAGGCCATTATCCCAAGCGAATTAATGCAGGAACAGAAAAATAAATATCACATGTTGCCACTTTTAGGTGGGGGCTAAACACTGGGTACTCATAGACATAAAGATAAGAACGATGGACACTGGGGACCACTAGAGGAGGAAGGAAGGGAGGGGGCAAGGGTTGAAAAACTCACTATAGAGTATTATCCTCACTATCTGGGTGATGAGATCAACTGTATCCTAAACCTTGGCATCACACAATATAACCAGAAAACAAACCTGCACATGGACCCTCTGAATCTCAAGGAAAGTTGAAATTGGTTTTTCTTCTTTTTTCTTTCTTTCTTTTTTTTTTTTTTTGAGACGGAGTCTCGCGCTGTCGCCCAGGCTGGACTGCAGTGGCCGGATCTCGGCTCACTGCAAGCTCCGCCTCCCGGGTTCACGCCATTCTCCTACCTCAGCCTCCCGAGTAGCTGGGACCACAGGCTCCTGCCACGGTGCCCGGCTAGTTTTTGTATTTTTTAGTAGAGACGGGGTGTCACCGTGTTAGCCAGGATGGTCTCGATCTCCTGACCTCGTGATCCACCCGTCTCGGCCTCCTAAAGTGCTGGGATTACAGGCTTGAGCCACTGCTCCCGGCCGTTCAGTTAGAAGATGCAAAGAATAGCTCCTTGCTGTTTTCAAAATGCAGACATCATTTAAATGTTCATTTAAGGAAATCAAATTCATGTTATTTAGAAAGCAATATTTTCTTTGGACCAACAAAGCTAGACTTTAATTGGAGACATGCAGCACAAGTTTTGGCAGTGTTGCCCAAGGTGCTCTCCATTATGGCGGTCTCTGTTTTCAAAAATATACAGTCAAGCCAGGCACAGTGGCTCACACCTGTAATCCCAGCACTTTGGGAGGCCAAGGCATCAGGATTGCCTGAGCTCAGGAGTTCGAGACCAGCCTGGGCAACATGGTAAAACTCTGTCTCTACTAAAATACAAAAAATTAGCCAGGCATGGTGGCGTGCACCTGTAGACCCAGCTACTTGGGAGGCTGAGGCAGGAGAACTGATTGAACCCAGGAGGCGGAGGTTGCAGTGAGCTGAGGTCTCACCACTGCACTCCAGCCTGGACAACAGAGTGAGACTCCATTTCATATATATATATATATATCTCCAATCAAAATGTACTCAGGTTTTAGTTAAGTCTGCATTTGATTCAAGAAGGCTTGTTGGAGACAAAAGATTCAAAAGCAACTTGCAAATGAAACTTTGATTTCAAAGCAATTAGTATGTATCACTCACTGGCTGTGTGTCAAGTACTTCACTGAGAATCTTTGTGTAGAATACTGTATTTAACACACATAATAGCACAACAACAGGACAAAGGAGATATTGCCATTCCTACTTCACAGGCAAAGAGGACGAGGCTCAAAAAGTAACTTGTGCCAGGCAAGGTATCAGATGGGAGGGTTCAGAAGTTTTGGAAATGGACAATGTTGAGGTTCTTCAAATCCTGGGCCCCTTTTTCATGGCCTTTGTAACCTAGAGAAGCTATTCAGTCCCTTTAGTCAAAAATCTTCATTTGTTAAATAGACAGCAATAATACCAACCTCCTAGCATTGCTGGGAGGACGAACAAGACAATCTTTACAGTCCTGGGAAGAAGAGGTGAGTTCTGTTTCTTAATATTCTTCTGACCTACACCTACACCAGGTCATAATAAACAAATTCAGGATGCCTACCCCACCTTCTCAATTCCAAGTCCAGTGGACTTTGCGTTGAGTAAAAGGAGAAGTACATACTCTTTAGCAGTTTTCTAGGACAGAATTTTCTCACCCAGGTAAAAAGGAAGATGATTATTTAAGTACCCCCTGAAGTGGAAATACATTTAATTTTTCTGATCCCTAAACATTTTATTTAGAAATCGAGCAATCTCACAGATTTAAGGTAAACAATCAACTAGATGTTTCTTTGTCTGTCTTTTATGAATTCTTCTGTGAGACTCAGATTTTTCACAATGAGTTAAGATAATGACAACTAGTGGGTTTTTTGCTTATTAGTTTGAGACAGGGCCTCACTCTGTGACCCAGGCTGGAGTTTAGTGGTGCAATCATGGCTCACTACAGCCTCAACCTCCCAGGATCAAGTGATCCTCCTGCCTCAGCCTCCCTAGTAGGTGGGACTACAGGTGGTTGCAATCACACCTGGCCAATTTTTTTTTTTTTTTTTTTTTTTTTTGTAGAGACAATGTCTCACTATGTTGCCCAGGTTGTCTCAAACTCCTGGGCTCAAGTGATCATGATCCATACACCCTGGGCTTCCTAAAGTGCTGGGATTACAGACATGAACCACTGCACCCAGTGATGCCTACTTTTAAATATTTTTGCAGCTCTCTAAAGTCCAATGCTCGTGCAGCTCTGACTTAGCATGCTGTCTGGATCTTTGTAGTTGCTCAGTAAAGAGTCTCTGTTAATACAAGGACCAAAGAATAAAGAGGGCATCAAGGAAAGTGGTGAAGGAGATTGTCACCAAATTATTTACTGAACCATTCCACTCATTAGTCCTTAAAAAGATGACTACTTTGATTCTCCTTATCTAGCACCCCCCTGCATGATATGAAAAGATGTTAAACATAGTGAGACACTGCATTATATAAATAACACACACTCTAAGGTTTCAGCTCACAGTTTATTTTAGGTCTCATTCTGCAGGTGCTTGGCATCCAGGGTCAGGTATACTGAAAACCATTATCCTTTCTTTATGAGGCTGGAAAGTGTCATAGACGAAGGCCTGTCACAATCAATATTAAATTGTCTGTTCACTCAAGCCTGGAGTACATTCTGAGGTTATGTTGCATATCACTAGCCCATGACCAAGGACAGCCAAGCTCAACCCTCCCTGGCCCCCCTACCAGACCCAGAAGATTCACAGTTTTGCAATTTGAATGGCCCAAGGTCTCTGGGCCATTGTATAGACTGAGTTTCCAACCCTGAATTCCCCCTTTTGACTCCGCTGCTATATTGGGAAAGTTATCTTCTAGACAAGCAAATAAAAAGAAGGCCCCTTGACTCCTAAGGGTCATTTCCAAATGCATGTGCAATGCTCCAAGAGCAATGGAAAACAGCTGTGGAATCCAGCTGCTGCTCTGAGTAGTAAGAGGGAAACCGCCAGGCTTGCGTGGACTCCCTTTGGTAGCCACGTATCTCAAGTGGCTTTTGTTTTTTGAATGATAAGATAGTGTATGTGCTTCTCATTTTTTAAAATTCCATGTCATCCGCTGCACCAGCAGAAGCCCTGGCAATCTAAACTCTAAAGGACAGCTCAGTGCGCCCAGAATTTGAGCCAGTGTTAGGAACATTGCCAAAGGATCTTTGTGGGTTTCTCATAAATTGGAGTGTACAGATGATGCTGAAAAAAAGAAAAACAGATAATCCAAACTACCCACGATAGAACAACAACAAAAAGTCTTTTAAGATTCCAGAAAAAAACCTTCATAGTTAGATTTTATTTTTTCAAAGAAATATGAAAGAAAATGTCTTCTTCATTTCTTAGAACAGAAATGATTGCAAGCAAGGTATAGAAGAAACTGAAAACATGTTTTGCTTAGTGAGTATGCCAACTGTTGGCAAGAAAGGAAGGAAGGAAAGGAAAGGAAAGGAGAAGGAAGTGAGAGCAAGCAAGAAAGAGAGAAAGAAAGAAGAGAGAAAGAAGAAAGAAAGAAGAAAAGAAAGAAAGAAGAAGGAAAGACAGGAATGAAGGAAGGAAGGAGAAAGAAAGAAAGAAAGAAAGAGAGAGAGAGAGAAAGAAAGAAAGAAAGAGAAAGAAAGAAAGAAAGAAAGAGAAAGAAAGGAAGGAAGGAAGGAAGGAGAAGAAAGAGGAAGGAAGGAAGGAGAAAGAAGGAAAGAAAGAGAGAAAAGAAGGAGAGAAGGAGGGAGAGAGGTAGGGAGGGAGGAAGGAAGGAAGGAAGGAAGGAAGGAAGGAAGGGAGGGAGGGAGGGAGGAAGGAAGGAGAAAGAAGGAAAGAAAAAGAAAAGAAAGAGAGAAAGAGAGAGAAGGAGGGAGAGAGGAAGGGAGGGAGGGAGGAAGGAAGGAAGAAGGAAGGAAGGAAGGAAGGAAAAGGAAAAAAGGTAGGGAGGCAGGGAAGAAAGAAGAAAAGGAGAGAAAAAATTAGGCAGGAAGAAAGGGAGGAGGAAAGGAGGGAGAGAGGGAAGAAGTGGAGCTACCTCCTCCATTAGGTAGAAGAGGCCCAATATTTAGGAACTGCGATACTTTTAGGGGTCCACATCAATGTCATAACTTTATTTTTGTTTAAAATCAGAAGAAAAAAGTGAATATAACAACAAATATATACTATTGAATTCTGTGTGTATCATATTTATTCATATACCAATGCAGTCATAAAATGTAGTTTTAAAATTTATTTAATGGAGAAAGTGGCCCATAAAAGTGTCCAGGGCCTACAAAAGTAGGAACAGTCTCAGGAAGGAGGAAAGGGGAGGGGAGAAGATAGGAGGGAAGTGAGGGCAACAAAAGAAGAAAAGCTGGAAGGGGAATACGGTAAGATTGTGAGATTTTGTGCTTGGTAATAATGGTTGCTGAGGATTCTTCCAGTGGTAGCTTCTAGATGATTATCCGGTTAGAGAACCTGGTTTGGAGACTTGGATACCATTACTGAAAGTTGTATTTTAACTTTCTGGTGATCATTAATGCACTGGGGAAATAGTAACAGAAGCAATAAGTTACTTTAATTCGTCCCATGTTTCCTGGTCTGTATTGTAGCACAGTTGTGGCCTTAGATTACCTGAACCCTTTAAGTCATATTTATGATCTTTAAACTTTAGCGAAGCTGAGGACAAAGGAAAATCTTCACCCTCAGAGGAACAGATGTCATTTTTTCTAATATTGTAAATTACTGGGTCAATGCTTCTTTTCCTGAGTAAGGGACGGTTGTAAGTTAAGGAACTTATGAAAGCTCTGGCCTTCCTAGGCATCTCTCATCCTTTGACACTTTTTAAATTTTCATTTTCAAAATCCTTAGTCCAAGTAATCACTGCCAAGCCTGGCCTCCCCTCTTCCACTTGCAGAGGAGGCCCCATGAATTCTCTGGAAAACTGTTTCTCTGGGGACCATCTAGACCTTTACAGACTGAATGCAGCAAAGAAGAATTTACTATAAGAATGTGTCCTTGTAAGTTGGACCAGAGTACAAAATATTACCATGAAACTCAGCTGAACCATTTGATTCACTGGGCAATATTTAGGTAAGTTGCTCTGTGCCTCAGCTTCCCATTTGAAAATGTGCCAAACAACACCTTCTATGCAAAATTATTGTCAGGATTAAAACTAAATTATGTGTATGAAGCATTTAGCACATGCTTGACAAGTTTTGGATGCCAATTAAATGATGGCTATTATCTTTACTATCATTAATTTTCATTTTTTCTCAATTATTAAAGAGATGATACCTATTGTACATAAATTAAAGGTATTGAAAAGTGTAAAGAATCAAATAGAAAATCACCCATAATCACTTCACCTAGAAGCAACTAATTTGACATTTTGGGATATCCCTATTCCACTCACATGTTTGACAGCATTTTAGATACAAACTATTGAAACTAATAGGAGGGTGCCATACAAAAATCAATTGTGTTCTTATTTATCTGACATCACATAATTACAAAATGTATTTATTAAATCTGGTGTGATTTATAATGGCAACCCAAATAATAAATATGTAGAGAAAAAAGCTAACAAAAATGTACACTTTTTGTGGGGAAAAAAATAGGAAATGTTACCTTACGTCATAAATAAAATTCAGTATCTGAAGATATAGATCATAGTTATGGGTGATCAGATTACAAACCGACAGTTCTTCCCAAATGAATCTATATTTAAATTCAAAGTAATTCCTATAAAATCCCAACAAGGAGCTTCAGAAGATAATACTAAAATTTCATATGAGAGATAAAAGAGGCAGTAATAAATAAAATTTTGAATAAGTAGAAAAAACCAAGGGACTTACCAGGTATCCAGGTTTATTAGAAATCCATAGCAATTGTGACATCATTATAAGGTGAAAATACAGACCAACGGGATTCAATAGGAAACTCCAAAACAGATCCAACCATCTACAGAAGTGCAATGTAGAATATAATGGCCATAGAAATCAGCAAAGGGAAAGTGAACTACGTAATCAATAGTCCTGGCACAGCTGGTTTTCCAAAAGAAGATAAATAGAATCAATCACTTTCTCACTCCATGCACAAAGAATTATTCCAAATGGATTAAAACCTAAATGTGAAAAGCAGACCTAAAAATTTAGTGGAATATATAGAAGAGTATTATCTTTATGCCTTGTAATAGTAGATTTCTCAACCATTGCTGAAATGTATTCTTATTTCTTAATGATAACTTTGCATTTATTAAAACTTGAAAATTCTATACAACAAAATACTTTAAAACAAAGCCAAAAGGCCTGAGAGAAGATATTAGCAACACACTATCTATGAAAGGGATGATATGCAGAATATCTTACAATTAATTAAGAAATGCATAGAAGGCAATAATAAAATGAACAAAATTTATGAATGTACAAGTATTAGAACAGAAAACCCAAAAGACCAATGAGTGAGTGAAAAGATGACCAGTCTCACTAATGATAAAGAAAATAAACACTAAGATACCATTCCACACACATAAGATACTTTAGAATTGAAAAGTCTAACAATACCAAGTGTTGACAAGAATGCAGAACAAAGCAAATTCTCATACTTTCTGTTGGGTGTGTAAATTTTTATAATCATTTGGGAGAGTAGTTTTGCAAAATCTAGCAAAATTGAAGATAGGCATAACTGAGACCCAGCAATTTTACTCCTAGGAATATGCTCTGGAGAAGGCTTTGTACATGTGTATGATGTGCAGGTACTGGAATGCGTAGTGCTATAACCTAGGATGTTCATAATAGCCACAAGTGGAAAGCCCTGCAGATGTCCATCAATAGGAGAATAGATAAATGAATTGCATATTTACGCAGTGAAATACTCCTCAGCAAATAAAATAAATCAACCAGAAATACATACCTATCAAAATGAATTGATCTGCCAAACAAAATATTACACAGAAAAAGAAAACTGCAGTAAGTTGTTGGTTACATAAAATTTCAAATATAAAAACAATACTCTTATGCTGTTTATAGATATTTCTATGTTGAGTAAAAGTATGAAATTATGACTTAGATTAATAATCAGCAAATTCAGGGTAGTTGCTTCTGAGAAGAGACTGAGAAAAATGGAATGAGGGAAATTCAGTAGATTTCAACTGTCTTTATAATAATGCATCATTTAGGAAAAAAATGAATGTGAATATGGCAGAGTAAAACATTTTAACAAAGTTGAGTGATGAATGCGCTGGCTAAGTTACATCATTCTCTGCATTTTCTCTATACTTAAAAGATTTCATAATATGACAAATATTTTTAAAGATTAGACAAATGCCTGTTGCAATTGCAGTTAAAGGAATAAAACCCAGTTGTTCACAAATATGCCAAATGAAAAGCACATTGGTAAAACAAACAAATAAATAAATAAAGGTCTGGGAGAGGAGTAACTTCCCAGGGAGGGAACTGCTAAATGGAACAGTTGAGTTTTTCTTCTTGACTGGCTGATATCCTCTGGAGTTTTCTTGTATTAAGTGTCAAGCCATTTGTACTAGGTATGATGTGGAGAAACCTGGAGCCACAGGCATCCATGCACTCTGAATTTCACCCAACACCACCACACCCAAACACAAAACAAAAACATTTGAACCATGACCAGCAAAACCAACATGCACCAGGTAAGAGATAAAAATGAATAATGTACCATGGTGTGACCCATGCTTGCTCAGTGAGATGTGGCTCTGAACTTCCCTGAAGTCAAAACAAAGAGGCAAGCATGGCCAATCCCAAGATTTGCAACATCCAACAGGCAAAATCAAAGGGCTTTTCAGGAGAAGTACAAACATTTCAGGAGATTAGAGCCTGAAAGAAAATTCTCCCTTGTTATGATAAGGATAAATACAAAATGAGAAACAAAGCCATCTACCCAACAAACAGCCTAGACACTGAGCACTGAATCTGCTCCAACCATCCACACAACTTACTGTCTACACTGCATTATCATGACCTTCCTATTCCGTTGTCTTCATTAATGACTTCACTACTCAAAGGGACTTTTGTCCAGGCATTGATTGTTCATTACAGGAACTTCCCCAAAGACCTAGCCACTCTTCCCTGGAAAGAATCAACAGACAACTGGGGCCCTAAGAGCCTTTGAATCTTTATTGTTTCCCCAATGCTTTCGGTAGAAAGGGGATACAGAATGGGTGCTGATATCTGTTACTAGGTAATAAGCATCTTCCACAATTTTAAATTGTATTACTAACATCAATAATTGGTATTCAGTGGGTCCTAAAGATTTTGCATTTATTATCTCATTTAATCATTAAAACATCTCTAAATGCATGGTACTGATATTTTTCCCATTTTACAGATAGGAAAACCAAAGCTCTACCAAAGCTCAGACACAGACATTAAGCAACTGGTCCAGTGTCAGGCAGTAACTATCAGAATCAGGACTTGAATTGGATCTGTGTGCCTTCAGTGTCTGAGTCCTATAACCAGTATGCTTTACTGTTTCTATCGGAAAAATTCGAGTCTATACCACCAACAACTGGTTGATTTTAGACTCCATAAAAGGAAGAGGCATGGCCATTTCTCCATCTTGAAAATTAGTTCCATGAGATAGCTATTCTGAATCTGACCCTGTAGTTCTCTGGGGTTTGTGAGTAGCCAATACGTGACCAGCCAATACGCCTCTTTAACATAGCCCCTTCTCTCCCACTCCGTCCCAAGAAGAAAGCATGGCCTTTGTGATCCAAGCTCCTGGAGTCCCCTCTGTGAAAGCAGTGCGGGCTCCACAGACCCAGCCTAGGGACCATTTGGCAGGCTGAGCCATGTGGTCGTGGGCCAAGGTTCACACAGGAGTGCGGAGTGATTTGCAATCAGTTGGGAGTGATTACACATTGTTTCTCATCGATAGGCAGGAGGGAGCCCTGACGGGATAATGAGATGCAGCTGATGGAAAATCACAGCTGACTGTCGCCAGTGAGCGAGCTTGCACAGCCCTGCAGTGCTGCAATCGAGTCCTCCCCACTGCAAAGGCCAGGAGAAAAATCTGTGGAATTTTAATACTAAGCCACCCCACAGTGCCAAGGGAAATTGACTGGAGGGTCCACCAGTTGAGGAGCAGATAATTGGGTAAGAACAGGATACAGGCGATTCCTCTGGACAAACCACAAACCCTGCCAGGACGGGGCTCCAAATAGCTTTCCTAAAAAGAGAGAGTAGCCGTGCATAGGCAGCCCCTGGGAAACGGCTAAAATGCAGGGTACTAAAGCATGGGGCCCCTTTGTCTTGCCTGGCCCCAGCAAAACAAAATGAATTTCTTTGCCTCCGTGCGTTACCTGCACAGGGTCAGAAACTGCCACGGAGTGTTTTTCTCACTGTGCTCAATGAGAGAATCTGTTTAAGCTATGTTTCCATGGATCAGTACGCTAAGGGCCAACTTGAGCCCTGTTTACCCTTCTGTAGTCAAGGAAAGACAGCTGTTTGCTTAAATTGAGGTCTCCTTCTTCCATGACAGTCATTACTGGCTCCCCAGTTAGAGGTAATAAGCTTGAATTTCCCAAGCAGATGTGAGTTGCTCAAGTCTTGACTATTCTTGTAAAGGCCATCCAGAACCCAGAGTGATGTTCCTGAAGAAGGTACTAAAGACTAAGTCTTCATACTTGATTACCATTCCCGATGGAGGTGCAAAGAGGTCCCTAATAAATAAACTTGCTGAGTGCGCAACTCTGGCCCAGACCTTTAACCCTGTTTCCTCACATAGCATTTCTATCTCCTACATTTAGGCTGTGTTGCCACTGAACAACTCACTGGACTCATTCATAAGAAAGGAGGTGGAATTTGGCCAATCAGTGCTTGGCTAGTGAGCACCTAAATAAACAAATAGTGCAGCAAGTTGACTGAGTCAAACCCTTGGTTAACCCATTCAGTTTTGTTTTGTTAACAACTTACAATATTCCTTTTTTAAATTAAAGACTTTTTTATTTTGAGAAAACTGTAGATTCACAAACAGTTGTAAGAAATAATGCAAAGAATTTCCTTTTAGAGTTTACCTCATTTTCCCCAATGGTAACATCTTGCAAAATTATAAGGTCAAATCACAACAGGATATAGACATTGATACAATTCATTGATTCCCAGATATCCCTTGTTTTGCTCATTTGTTTTATGCAACCTATCTTACAGGTAGGTTCCAGCATCCAGCACCATGGTCAAGGTAGAGGAGTTCCATCACCACAAGAATGCCTTGGGTGCCTTTTTGTAACCCTCCTCCCTGACCCATCCCTAACCCCTGCCAACCATTAATCTGTTTTCTATTTCTACAATTTTCTTACTTTAAGAAATCTACATCAATGGAATTGTAGAATATGTATTATTTCAGAATTGACTGCTTTTTCACTTAGCATCATTATCTGGATTCATCCAAGTCGTTGCGTGTATCCATAGCTCATACCTTTTTATTGCTGAGTAGTACTCCATACTATGGACGTACCACAGTTTGTTTAACCATTCACTTGCTGAATGACATCTGGGTTACTTCTGGTTTGGGGCTATTTTGAATAAAGTTGTTTTGAATATTCATGTGTTAGGTTTTTGTGTAAACATACATTTTCATTTTTCTGGTATAAATATCCCAGAGAATAATGGCAGGGTCATATGACAATTGCATAGTAAGTTGTATAAGAAATTCCCAAACTGCTTTTCAGAATGGCATGGTCATGTTACATTCCCACCAGAAATGTATCAGTGATCCAGTTTCTCTTCGTGCTCACTAGCTTTTGGTGTTGTCCCTATATTTTATCTTAGCCATTCTGATGGGTGTGTAATGATATTTCACTGTGGTTTTAATTTGTACTTACCCAAGGGCTATTGATGATCAATATCTTTTCACATGTTTATTTGCCATCCATACACCCTCTTCAGTGAAATGTTTATTCATATATTTTGTGAATTTTCAAATTGGATAGCTTGGCTTTTTTTTTTTTCTACTGCTGACCCATCCCACTTTTCCATTTATTGCTAGTGACAAAAACTAAAAAACTTGGCTTCAGCCTGCTAAAAGCTGAAAACGAAACAAAATAGAACAACAACAAAATAAGGCATGTTGGACAAGTTTCCATGAGTTTACATATGTCCTCTCACTTAATGATCACAATCCTATGAGTTAATTTCTGTTTTCTTTCTTATGTTACTGTAAGGAAAAAAGCTTGGAGAAACTGTGTGCCCAGGGCCACAGAACAAGAAAGTTGCAGAGATGGAAACCCAGGTATCCTGACAGTATAATTTGTCCTCCAAATGCCTGTATTATACTGTCTACCTGTGTATTGTTTGATTTATTTGACAACATGAAGTCATGTCTTTTGTAATCACACACACAAAAATATTGCTGAAAATAACTTAATTTTGATCTTTAAAGGAAGAGATATGTCCTCTCTTTGACCAGCTTAGCTGCAATGTCAGTTTACCGGTTGTGGAGTTGAGCCTGTGGTCCATATACAGCCTATGGGAATGCTCCCTTTAGGACTTTTTGCCCATAAACAAACTTCTAAAACTTCTTGAATATTCTAATGATTTACAGTGTCTAAAAAGAAATCTTTTTTTTAAGAATACAATTTTTTTTTCCTTAAAATGTGTTCGGCTGCTTTCGAATAGCTCCTGAGAATTAAGTGGTCTCTACAATGTCTCCTCCGTATTCCAAATAAACAAGTCAAAGCCCGAAAGCCCTGTGGTGGAACATGACCCAAACACACAAGTCGTTACGGCCTAAAGTCACCTCGCCAGAATATACCGAAAGACAAACAGAGAGCATTCTTTAAATATTTCCAGTTCGAAAAAAACAACAAAAACCTTATTTCTTTTTTTAAAATAACAAGCCACTAGAAAGAAAATAGTAAATAAATGAAAAAGTAAATAGTAAATAAAATGTACATTAATTAAAATAAGTAAGTATTTGCTTGACAAAAAAAACATCTCCAGTAACCCCAAATCCTGCAAAGGAAAGAAGTGGAGAGTTGGGACTTGGCATAAATACTCCAGAGCTCTCCCTCAGTCTCTTTATTTCATACTTTTCTGATCCACTGACATCTCCCCACATACTCAAACCTCTACAAAAAAATAAACACTAAAAATTAAAAAAAAAAAGTATGATTATTTTTCTAAGGGCTGTTCATTCTACCATGGAAATATTTCTTCCATTACTAACATCCTTTCTGTTCTGATGACCACTAACTTAGTTGGGCTCATGTCACTTGTTTTCTTCTGGATTCTTGTAACAATCTTCTCCCAACTCCAGTTTCTTTCTTCTTCAACCCATCTTACCCAGACTGCCATATTAACTGTCACAAAACACAGCTCAAAGACCTTCAGTGGCTCCCCACCACCTGCTGATGCAAGTACAAACTCTGCAATTTGGAATTCAAGGCTATTAAAAGAATTATTTCAATCTAACTTTCCCTACTTTTTCTCCCACCTTCATTCTGTCCAACCTAGGGGGAGAACCAATTCCAAGCTGGCCTTGCCACCTCTGTGCGTTTCTTCAAGCTGAGCCTTTAGCCTGGGCTGTCCTCAGGGGACATGTGGCCATTCATTGCCTCCTTCAAAGCCGTCAGAGACCCTCCTCCATAGGATTTTCCTTTTCTCCTACAAGTCAAGACCTGGAACATCAGCTAATGGTAATCCTCAGTTTAGCATAGCTGCCCGCAAAGGTAAGCACTCTGAAGGCACTCTTAATCTAATCTTAATGATGTGAGTTAGGCAGTCATCTGCTGGTAAATGTTTAACAACTGGTTCTTGGGGGAAGGGAGGGAGATAGTACATGCATATATTTGCATACATACATTTATTGTAACTGTGGTTGATATAAAGGACACAAAGCCCACTTAAATATTCAATACTCCTTTTTGTAAATTCCATATAGCCCCTCAATTCTTAAAGACTATTTTGTTGTTTTTTGGTCAAATAATTATATCTATAGCCAAACTGTGGTTGTGAAGGACAGGTGAGGATAATTCCAACATAAATATTTGTTGATATTTTGTTTTCATTAGTGAGTAAGGTGAAAGTGAAAATGTGAAATGCTGGAACTTCACTTATTTATTAATGACATGAGTGAATTCTTTGCTAGCTTAGATAATAGCGATGAAATGCTAAAATAATATTTGCTCAAGTTGTTATTTGCAGACACTGCACAATTTTATGGTTAATATGCATCATTAACATCATTTCTAACACATGCTTAAGTCTAGAGAATTAAAATAACAATAAATTAAGCCCTGATTTGCCTATTTCCATGGTGTAAATATTTCCATCATCACTGATTTCAAGCTGCTGACTTGATGTCACTGAACATGGAGGCAAGAAAAGATGCACAGCTGCTCCCTGTTACACAATATTTCTACTATACAGATATAATAGATGTAAATAAACCAAATAATATAGGTACATGTAAAATAATTAGAAAGTTTTGAGTCTTGAGGATTTATTACCTTTGTTTTAATGTGATTGATTTGATGATAAATTTGTATAATTTAGTCCTTAATTATGACTGTGCTTAATAATTGACCCGAACATTTTCTGAAAATTTAATAATCAGCTCTGACATTCCAGTACAAGCCAACCCCAGCATCTCGCTGGAATAAGAGATTATTAATGCCCTTTTTACTGATGAGGAAACAGTTCTCTAGTCCAAATGTAAATGTGTCGATTGAGTAAATAAATCTATATAAATCAAAATTATTTCACCAGTGCTCCACCAACCTGAGATCCTGGTCATATTTATCTTCTTCATCTCTGTATCATTGGGCCCAGCACTGCAACTGGCTTGGGGCAGAGCTCAATCGATTCTTGTCAACTTTGCCCTTCCCTCCCTATTCAGCCATTTATAAAGAAGGCTGACCTACAAACTTATTTTGGTGAGAGCATAGGAAAGATCTATTCTTGAGCAGTGAAACACAACTAGCTTCCTCCACTTCATACCGCAGATCTGACCTAGCTCTGTGACCTCAGCCTGCCACTGCACTCTAAGGCTCAAAATGGAAACCACGTGATACAAACAGAATAAGAAAATAATTACAAAAGGCCTTTTGTAAACTGTAGAGCGCTGCATTCTAGGGATTTGTTCTTTTAAAAGAAGAGAACCCATGGTAGAGGCGGGAAGAAATATTTTCTCACTTCTCTGTAGGTATCCATATCTCTTACTAAAAAATATATTGACTCTGGAGAAGATGGGAGAAGCCCTCCCACTAGAAGCAACTATAATAGTAGACAAAAAATATATGAAATAATTATCCCCAAGCACTGTTGCAGTGCAGGATTCCATTGGCTTTCCACATGGACACACTTTTTTATAATTAAACTAGGGAGAAGGATCTAGAACAGCACAATCCAGCTCAGTTGGGGAGACTGAGATGACAGTTTGGGGTCATGATGTTGTTTTTGTAACATGACGTTACAAAATTATGTATAAATTAGATATTTATTCTGGATTCAAGATAGACCAATGTATTTTAACATGACATAGTATGAAAAGTTTATTGATATGGTTTCACATTCTGCATTGCAACTAATCTCACAAATTTTTTGATGATATAGTTGCTTTTCATAAAAACATATTTTTATGTGAAATGGGGTTTATCATTGCCATTTTAAATCACTTAATAAACATTTACAATTTTTACTTTTAATTTATAATATTTTAAATATAGATAAATATTATGCACTTGAAGGGCCACAAGACAAAAGTATTTGACAAGGGCTTCCCTAGAGTCAAGGTTGTTCTAGACCCCTAACGGAGTTTAAAAGAAGGGTTGAAAGTATTGTACTGATCTGAAAGTAAGTTAACTGCCCAATAAGACAAAATTCAACACTTTATTAAGATTTTGTTAAGAATGACTAGGAAATTTAGACACTCAAAATTTAGTATCCATACAATCCAATATCCAACCAAAAATTACTAGACATTTGAAGAACCAGAAATATGTGGTCCATATCTAGGATAATATTCAGTCCATGGAAACAGACTCCAACAAAATGACAGAGATAATAAAATTAGCAAAAGAAGAATTTAAAAGAGTCACTATAAATATGTTTGTATTCAGGATTCCCCAGAGAAACAGAACCAACAGCATAGAGATTTATCATGATGGATTGGTTCACATGATTAGGAAGGCTGAGAAGCCCCACAATCTGCCATCTGCAAGCTGCAGCTCCGTGAAAGCCTGATGGTCTAGTTTCAGTCCAAACTTGAAGGCCTGAGAACCAGGGGAACCAACAGTGTAAGTCCCAGCCAGAGTCCAAAGACTGAAGAACCAGGCGCTTCAGTGTCTAAGGGCAGGAGAAGATGGATGTCCCAGCTCAGAAATAAAGAGCAAATTCACCCTTCCTCTGACTTTCTATTCAGGCTCTCAACAGACTGAGCGATGCCCAACTGTATTATGATGTCAATCTTTATTCAGTTGACTGATTCAAATGCTAATATCTTTCAGAAATACACTGACAGACACGTACAAAAATGTTTTACCAGTCAACTGGGCATTCTTTGGCTGAGTCAAATTGACATGGCCATGCGTGGTGGCTCATGCCTGTAATCCCAGCACTTTGGGTGACTGAGGCAGGCAGATCACTTGAGGCCAGGAGTTCAAGACCAGCCTGGCCAACATGGTGAAACCCCATCTCTAATGAAAATACAAAAAAATTAGCCAGGTGTGGTGGCATGCGCCTGTCATCCCAGCTACTCAGGAGTCTGAGGCAGGAGAATCGCTTGAACCTGGGAAAAGGAGGATGCAGTGAGCTGAGATCATACCTCTGCACTCTAGCCTGTGCAACAGAGACTCCATCTCAAAAAAAAAAAAAAATTGACACATAGCGTTACCGATCACAATGTTCACGAGTATAAAGGGAAAGAATAATGTAGAAGAAACATAAAGAATCTCAAGAAAGAAGTAGGCCGGGCGCCATGACTCACACCTGTAATCCTAGCACTTTGGGAGACTGAGGTGGGTGAACTGCTTGAGCCCAGGAGTTCAACACCAACCTGGGCAACAGATGAAACCTCATCTCTACAAAAAAATAAATTAGTGAGGCAAAGTGGTGTGCACCTGTGACCTGCAGTCCCAGCCACTTGGGAGGCTGAACCAGGATCATCTGAACCAGGAGGTTGAGTCTGTTGTGAGCCAAGATCATGACACTGCACTCCAGCCTGGGCAATAGAGTGAGATCTTGTCAAAAAGAAGAAGGAGAAGGAGAAAGAGAAGAAATAGAGGCTATAAGAAAAGAAACAAATAGAAATTCTAGAACTTGAAAATACAGTATCTAGAATTTGAAAGTACAGTATCTAAAAATCTAGAACGTGAAAATACAGTATCTAAATTTCCTAGTTATATTGCTAGATGGCTTAATAATAGACTAAACAGTGCAGAAAAAAATGATGAGAAACTTTAACACAGAACAATATAAACTATCCAACACAAGGACAAGAGGAAACAAAGCTGAAAACAAAATGGAACAAATTTTCAGTGACTTGTGGTGTGGTATCATGCAGTCTAATATACATGTGACTAAAGCAGCAGCAGGAGAGAAGAGACAGGAACAGAAAATACATGGAGAAATAATGATGGAAGTTTTTCAAATTTTTTGAAGTTCACTAAACTGTAAGCAGGATAGCCAAAGACACACACACTGTAACCAAGACACATCATAATCAAATTGCTAAAACCCATGATACAAAGAAAATTTTAAAAGCACCAGAAGAGGAAGAGTTAAACAACGAAAATACACATTATATAAGAAAAACAATAAGAATATCCAAAGTCTTTGTAAAGAAATGCAAACTAAAAGGTAAAATAATGATGTCATTAAAAGGCTGAAAGAAAAAAAAATTTCAACTTAGAATTCCATATTCAATTAAAATACTCATTAACAATTAAGGAAACGACAACAACACAAATTTCAGACAAATGCAAACTCAGATAATTTTTCATCAGGCCTGCACTCTGAGAATATTGATGAAAATGTTTCAGGCTGAAGGAAAGTGACATTAGATATAAACTCAGTTACGCATAAAGGAATGAAGAGTGTGATTCTATAGGTAGATATAAATAAAATACTTTTATTGTTTTTAATGTAATTTAAGGCTTAAAATTCATAACAGCATATTTCAGTATTATCATAGGTTTAGAAGTGAAACATATGGCAATAATAACAAATAGCCGAAGGGGATAACGGAAATAAACCGTGCTAAAGTTCTTACATTTACATCAAGTTTTTAAATAGTATTTGAAGGTATACAATGATAAATTAGACATGTGTACTGTAAATATAAGAACAGGAACTTCAATAAATAAATATATATATGCACACACACACATATATATATATGTCTACATACATACACATGGAAATTAATAAATAAAACACTGAGATGTAGGTAATAAACCAGTACAGAATAAAAGGTAGAATACTAAAAAAAAAAAATCTGAAAAAATTACTCATTTTATCCAAAGAACGACAAAAAAGAGAAGGAAAGAAACAAATAGAAACAAATATCAAGGTGGTAGGCTTAAACCGAAGCATGCCAATTTTACATAGAATGTAAATGGGTTCAGCACTCCAAATGAAAAACAGAATTTAACAGACTAGATGGAAAAGAAAAACACAACTATATGTTTTTTCACTAAAGATACATTTTATATATAACGACATAAACAAG